CAAAGATCACACTAATCCGATTTTGGTCGCTCAGCGGTCGTCGTCTATGGTGGAAAGGGGTGCCGTTAGTACGAGATATCGTTACGTACAAGTGGTTTCATGACGTCAATAAAGATACTGAAATTCGTCGTCAACTTGATCAAATGCAGATTGAGACTCACACACATCACGGACATAAGCGTCAATGGCCATGATGTCCTTGATGAAGAGTAATATAACAGAACGGTTGTCTGATGCATGCCTAGAGCGAACGCAAATATTTCTATTCGTCACAGTTGAGGTAACATTACATCGGCACTCATCTCAGCCTAACGGTTTCTACGCCCCCGTCAAAGGAAAGGTTTGATAATGAAAACACTAAATGTCTTGTGAACATACCAGTTTGGGATAATGCACACAACAATTTGAATCATACATGTATATGATGCTCCAAATTCCCCATTGCAGGCTTATCAAGCAACAGTTGAAATACACAAACGTAGTAGTAGTAGTAGTAGTAGTAAGCCTTTATTTAAACTCGAAAGCTTGTTCGGTTACAAATGACCGCTTTTCAACAAGGTCGAGGGTGAGGGCGGGGTCACGGATTACAAATCAAACCAAAATATAATACAAAATCAAAACAAAGTGCAAATCAAAATATAATACAAAAATAAATAGTAAATCATCAGTCCGTTATCAGGCCAAGTTCCTTATCATACTTCTAAATGTTCCCAATGACTGGGCTGCTCGTACATGTGGTGGCAAGGAGTTCCACACAGTCGCCCCCGAGTACACTTCCAGTTGGGGCCTCGGTATGATGAGGTTGTCCAAAGTGCTCTGTCTGGTGGATCTGGAGGCTGCGTCTCTATACCGGATGAACACCCCTCGCATATATGGTGGTAAAGAATTGTCCAAGGCCCTATACACTAGCATGGCTTTATGTTGACGATGTAGACTTCTCACGGACTTCCAACGTGATTTGTGCCTTGGTCTTGCGGTACAGCAAGATACTATTTTATTGTCTGGTTATATGATGGACATTTTGTATTTTTACAGTAGAGTCACAGGAAGTGAGGGGGAATGGTGTAACCGCAGACTGTCAGGAAGGTCGCCCACACTCATGACTTCCATGGTGTAGAGCAGTTTTGTTTAAAAATGCCACGAAACAACTCGAACAGAGAACATGTCATGTTTTCTGTCTACGTGTTCTTGTTTATATTCTTCACCACAAAGTACGCTTAACGAAAGAATCGCCGATCTCCGCCCGTATGTTGAGTGGGCTCCGTCCTGATCCTGACCCAGGGCTAATTTGGTCCCATTAGGGTGGGACCCCGGCACGGCTTACCTTGTGACGTGCAAGGGACTCAGATAAGGGCTCCGACTCATAACGCGTGCCGTACGGAAGGTATTAACCACTGCTCCATTTAGCGAATAGGATTATGAGACTATCATGCAAGGAACAGTCCAGGAGGAGGAAAGGTGGGGAGGGAAGGGAACAGATAGAAGGGGAATAATATCAGAGAACGGACAGGCACGACACTAAGTAAAAACGTTAAGAAGAGCAGAGAACCGAGAAGGGAGAGAAAACTGGTTACTACTAGTATCAGATCTTCTGCGGTGCCACAAAGGTCAAATAACCAGACTAAATGACAGGTGAGATGAGATGAGATATTATGAGACGTGGGATGCAAAGTCGTTGCTTGGGATTTTGTAGCCAGGAAAGGAAAATGTAGAAACTGTCCTAAACGTTAGGTTTGACTTGCTTAAGCTTTATATACCTTCCGATCTGTCTTAAACATTGCTAAAAATTATGTTCACTCATAGCTTCACCAAAGAAATGTGATAAGCAATGGTATGCTTTTCTTTATATTTTTGTAAAAATTTTCTTTGTATCATTCGTGCAGTCCAACAGGGCAACAAGTTGTGCAGACAGTGCCTACACTTTCTCCATGTAAACTACGAAGGATAATTAGATGCGTTTTGTAAGGCTGGGCAGATCCGGATATGACAAAAGCTACACACCCAGGACCGTAAAAGTCCCTACTAGATCATGTAATCCACTGACGCAGTGTGCAATCCGATTGGAAATGTGCTGTGACGTCACACAGTGGTCATGTGGTTTCCGAGACACAGCACAACAGTGGATAAAACGACCACGCCGCAACACGCCTGTCCCACACACGGGCAATCTCAGCTGCGCTACAACAAGACTTACAGAACTACACCGCACCCTTCACAACATCGGTACCTGGAGAGGGAGGGCTCAACGAGTTGCGAAGTTCCGTGAGCGAAGGAGGTAAGGAACATATGCTTAGATTAGTTCAGGCCTTTCACTCAGACACAGGTGCGGTGTAGTGTCGCTAGTGCTGACTTGAATCATCATCATCTTCAGTTAAAATGTAAACTACAGCGAGTAATTGTCAGAAATTACACATGTGATTTGAAAAGCTGATGCTGATTTCCGTCTTTACATGTAAACTAATTATCTGCTTAAAGATAATGGGCACTGAGAATACGCATTCATGATAAAACTCCTAAGCAACAATTTCAGACTACAAAAGAATTACAAGCCTGGAATGTCAGGAATAACGGATAAAACCCTCGTTGTTGAAGATGATCACAGCGTATGGTCGGGTCATTGTAGGTCTGGTGCAAGATGTAGTTATGTGCAGTAATTGGGGGAATGGAGATAATGGCCTTTATCACAAATTGGAGCTTTATTTGGAAACTACGTGCTGCAAATGATAGATACGAGAGCATCTCCAAAATTGCCCTTCATTGCGAGAGGGGAAGATTACATCTCATTGAGAATGCATTTTATGGAAAAAAACTTAAAATTTGAAATATTCCTTTGGCTTTGTTTGAAGACACTTTCTTACCCAGAATGTACGAATATTATTATTTTGTAAGAAAGCATATCATGTACGTTTTCCGGTACACCGTTCAGTTGTAAAATTGACGAAAACAAGCACATCATTCTACATGTTTTATATAAGGTGTCAGTGTGTAAATGACAGGACCGTAAGTATCAGTAGTATGTGCATGGACCGGATGACACATATTTACGCTCAAAGTTAACTGATACGGTGGTTGACCGGAATATTCGTGATGATAGTGGCAGTTAGGAAAGGATAGATTGTTCTAGCTAGACGATTCATGTCTTTGTTGTTTCGAGTTCAATGACTGCGTTTTTTGCTTTTTGATGTTGTAATTTGCGGACTGTATAGTGGTTCTGCGTGCTTCGTAAGGTCACGGTCACATACGTCGTACGGTCGTTCCACGATCGCAAACTGATCGAGGACATTCGTGGGATAGTCGTGCATGTGTCCTGCAAAAGTAAGCTTGTCTTTTTACCGAAAATGTTCCCTTGGATCCTTGTAAGCGGTTGGTTATGTCACAGCCTGTTTGAAAATTCTACGGCATCAAAATCGTCCGATGAACTACGACGACGCCGTTTGTTTAAGGACAATGTATAGAATGCCCTTCGTTAGCTCTAGCAAAGTTACATTGTTGAGCCATTTTGTTTACTGGTCTCATGCAATGTCCATGTGAATGGTGTGAGGACATTTCACCGCCAAGAAATTTCGCCGTCACATATTTGTAGCTAAATTCTGTTGTTAGGGTTATCGTTAAAGTTAGGATTGAGGTTATGTTAAGGTTAGCGTTGGACATGGGCGTCCCCTTGACCGCAACCATTCCAATCCTGCCAGGGTGTTTCATCTTTGTTCTTAGGAAACCACAAACTCTCACCAACGCGTACAGTCTTTTTGATTTATTAATTGGCTTCTATCACCAACACAGTAAATTACTTGAATCGTGTGCCATTCATCACAAGCTGGCATGTATGTGTTGCCAGATGACCATGGACGTTGAGGTTCACCGAACAGAGGATGCTGTGCGCCTTATAGGCAATGCTACAATCTGTGTTCCATTGCCTCTAATCCACTAATCCTTTAATAAGCCTTGACGTACTCTGCAGTAGATCGTGTGATTAATCTGCTTATGGCTTAGCAGCTAAATTTTGGGTGCCTCCCTTGGGACCAAGCTTACAAAAATGTTTGCGAAATTACTCACTAACATAATCATTCTGTATATGTAAGATATTAGTCTACATTTCATATGTCCTTCCACCGACCCCATATAACTTGGGATTTCGTTCTCTCTCTTACGTTTTTATATCTGTATTGTGTACGGCATATGTTCAATCGCCCTGTGTAATGGCATTTAACTGGTTAGGTAGCCCTGACCGTATGTCTTCATACAGAATAAATCAAATCAAAAATCGCAGTACGTCGTCCTGTATAGGTAAGTCCCAAGAGTAGTGGTGTAGCTTTTTGATGAAAATATAGGTATTTCACCTCTGTAATACCCTGTGTTAAAGACCACATCAGACAACGGACATGACGTATCATGGTACACGCTTGAAAATCAATCTGCTGCACAAAAGGTGGCAGTTGTGATGAACTTGTGACCTAGTTATAATGAGAATGACATGCAATGAAGGAGCCAGGACACGCACAAAATTTAAGATAATGAATAGGGGTGGTAGAAATATGACCGTTAACAGTGATACCGACATTAGCTTATACCTTTGCATCATAGACACAGGGTATGGTCTGCAGATGGTCGGTGGAACATTGCCAAATGTAAATGTCATTTTGCAGAGTAATGAATGTATATAAACTTGTTAGCATAACTATACTGCGTATGGTATCGTATGGCATCATCTAATATATAACAATAAACATATTATCAGACTTCTATACCTTATATGTACAAAAAAACTATGTAGTATTGAATGAAAATGTGCTTTTACAATCATTGGTGAAATTTCTAGCCTTTTAGGGCCTTTTCATATATATCTCCGATGTGTACAACGAAGCCAAACCGTGAGACAATGCAGGGGTTATCAAATGACAATATTAACGTAAAGTTGTTATCAATCGATAGAAATCCTTTTTTTAGAACATGCAGACGTCTGGAAGAGTATAATGTAGATTGTGCCAAACCAATGATCTGCCAAGAGGTCCTGACAGTTTCTGTGATTTATACATCAGAGTGGTGCAGTGATTCTAATAATAATATCCCGGTCAGTGTAGTCAATCATTACTGGAGTAGTTACAATGAAGTTTCGTAGCCGGGATCAGGAAAATGCCGTCCACCTCATTAAAATCGTATTCATTAATACACAGGCCTGTCCTACTCACCCAGTGAACTACTTCACTACCAAAGAGACCATTGTTGTAATTTTCTCGTTCTGTAATGATGGACGAAAGACGCCAAAAAACAAAAGGAAAACCATTGAATATTTCATGTCGTATTATTTAAGACTTCTCAATTATTTCAAATGTTTCTGGTGATTAATGCCATGTAAACAACTGAAAATCGGTAGAGAAATCATGCGATATATGTTTTGACGTGGAAACGCTCCAGATTACATTTGACAACAGAAACCGATCGATTTTTATACGGTTACAAACTCTTCGGACAAATTGAATTCCCCGGAACAACGTTTCTAGGTTAATCCTGCCTAAATAAATGATAAAGAAAGAAAAAAATGTCAACTGCTGTGCGTTCCATATTTTTTGTGACGTTTGGCATTTTTTCAGATAATTTTGTTACACTTTTGTTAATTTTATTACACTTCACGGACTTTAACATGGCTTTGTATGGCATTCTCTGAAGCTAAATATGAGCCTATTATCGACCAGTAAGGTAAAGTTGTGTATTAAACTACCTTTAATGGTAAGTTGGCACTTTGTCAACACCAACGACAATTAAAAAAGAATAACGACACGCAGCACGACGCACGAACGATAATTCTTTTTCAACAACAATATAGTAGTAAGTCTTATGTTTGAGAGGCAACGGGTGCAATAGTTTAAGTTTTGAAGCCTTAAAGTTTTATTTCATATTGCACTCGTTACTTCTCAGATCTACGACATACGACACGATCGTCGCTGGAAACCATCCGTCGTGTTACTGTTCACAAAGCAACGTATAGTTCTTCCGAGGACAGATATCGCCAGCGTTCATCAAATACCAGTCACCGTGTCGACGTGCCCACTGGCAGGCTCGTGTCTCGTTACAAAGGCCGGAGTTACACAAGCAATTAAACGTCAGATCAGTACAGATTGCTCCGCTCCAAATTATCCCTGTGTCGCTCGGGAGATCAGGGCCTTTCTCCAGGGCATGTGAACAGACTGTGTCACGACCAACTATCCATGTCTACGGCTGATAGGATCTTTGACGTCTGATACACATTCAAATTTTCTTCCTGTAACTTCGGATTCCGAGCTAGTGTTGATATCGCGACAGGGTTTGGCCCACTAATACTGTCTGTTAGTTTGACTGAATGGAAATAATAGTTTATGACTTTCTGGCAAGCAGCCCAGCACGGTGGTGATGAAGTAATGTTCTTCCGGAACGACTTTCCGCCGTGTGCCTATGCTATGTAGCGCCGCATGCAGTGCCAATATAATGCCAAGGTTATGTATGCATCAAATCCATCAGAGCAAGTGTCACTTATTTCCAGTACGAAAGGCTGTCAGCGTTACATTATAAAGCCTGCTGTAACGTTAATCAATATTAGTGGTAGAGGAACGCATAACATTTGTCCATATACCAGCAGCTATCTCTAAACCCTCAACTGCTTGGACTAGGTGTTTGAATATTCATTTACAGGTACACTATCATCTTTACTGGGAGAAGAACACAGTGTTTTCCTCAGTGACAGTTAACAGGGATGGAGATTTCTCCTTCAATATCACCCAAATTTAAGTTGGGCTTGTTTAGGTTTAGATCACACCTAAACTCATAATGCCAGCCTCAAAATATGGTATGAGTTACACTAAAATGTTTAGGAGAGACAACGGCTGGATGTGATAGTTGTTACGATATCAGTTGGACATTGTGAACATCAACATTTACACATCTCTGAGTGCAGCTCATCAGCCTCATTAGAAAGGACGCTAATCAGGTCTGGAAATCAGGCAATGGTCAGGCAGCGTAGACTGCAGGGCTGGTGATGATGAGGCAACGACATTGCAGGAATTCATCTCCCTAAAACAAATACTGTATTTAGATTTAGCACGATATAGTACTTCACAAGCTTGTTGAAGGACGCCAGACTTTATTTCAATCCAGCGTCTGATAATGCTATATTTGTCCGACAGTCTAATCTTTATCACCAGGCTTATTAGTTCTTATGCTTAGGGTCTTATCAATTCGCACAATCCCATTATTTCGTGTAAACTTATAGTAGCAATGAATATTTTATCAATGTGCAGGACACATCGCCACGGTGAGTCATACACTTGGGGGATCGGGGGAGCACAGAGGGCGTCTTTTTACAATTACAAGCTAAAACCACAATGATGCGATACGTCATGTACGTGTTTCATTTCTAGGCGTATGCAGCTTACAAAAGCACATGCGTTACTGTGTCATCATCTGCTTTGTGTTAAGTGGTATAGTAAAAAAAACGGCTTGTGAAGCCCGTGATTACACGAACGTAGCTTGCTCTGACAGGACCACGTTTGTTGAGTCAATAGTGGCTTGCTAACATGTCACTGCGCTCTCTAGCGGAATTTGTACCAAGTCGCAGAGTTGCCCACTAGCTATGAGCATGTCTCTCGAGTGCTCCCTACCGAAATTATACAACATTGCAGTTGCAGTAAAATTCTACCAAAAAGTTTCCACACCATTAATTTTGTTCCTCTTGCTCCAAATGTAAATTTGGAATTATTGGCTATTGTTTTCCAAGGACGGGTGTCAATAGTAGTACGTTACAAGCACGAAGGCTGATTACTGTTAACGAGAGGAAGTACGTGTATGTTTTTTTGTTCCCAATTTTCTACCTGTTTGAGCGTCAATATTGGAGAGGGAACATGCTTAAAGACTTATCAAGTTGGCATACGGCTATTAACGTTTACCAACAAATCTATTCTGCAGTTACCAAGGCAAGTTGGAGATGAAGCAATTGTTTCACTCGGCGCAGTGCATGGTGGTCCTATCGGCCATCTTGCTCCTGTACGCTGACGTGACGAGTTGTCGGACGGTCCTGCTGGACCTGGGTACCGGCCCACAGCACCACGGCATCAGGCAGACCGAGGGCGACACCCGCTACAGCGTGGACGAGATCAGAAGTCTCATCCGGAGAAAGTTCTACGACACCAGCAGGGACGAGTCGGAGGGGTTCGAACTCGGGAAGCGGACGGGAGGTGAGATATATAAACCTCCTCGGTAACAGTAGTGATCGCTGTTTGTGTTCACACCAATTATTGGTAGGCATATGCAAATTACTGGTAAGCATATGCAAATTATTGGTAGGCTTTTTGCCTAACACTCACTGGCCGTGACGTCATGACCATCTCTTGTATTGATATATCAATTATCACAAAAACATCTTCAGTACACACTGGCGAGAAGAAAAGAAGGAAAAAACAGCACCTTGCCCTTGGCAGTGACTGGACTAACCTAAAGTTTTTTCCTCAGATGCCAGACTAAGTACCGGGCTTGTGGGGACGGTACTAGACCGACTCAACCAGTACTATTCCACTGCACGTGGGCCTAACCCTATCAACTCCAACGAACTTCTCATGAGTGGCCGGCGCTGACAAAACATGACTACAGAGGTATGTACCTGGAATGCCCATTCTAAGGCTCATGTCATTTGCATGAAGTTGATATTTAGGTTAGATGAAGAAGATATATGTGCCTAGGCTACCTGCTCAATTCTAACACAAGCCGCATCACAGACACGAATATATGCGAGTGTTTCGCTCGTTAAAAACTAGCCTTTGCAATCTGCATGTCAGCAGCGTCACATAGCGACTACTGTCGTTACTGCAACCTGAAATGTTTTGTTTGTACGAATGGTGTGTGTAAACGCATGACTTTTCATTTAACCATATATGCGTGAATTAACGTATAACTGTCTTTTGTAAAAGTCTGCATATTGTATAGTGCAGTTTTTGAACCGTTAGAATCTTTACTTAGATATTAACTGTTTACATACAGGTTCCAGGGTGAACATTGGCTGGAAACCCAACCAACGGAACAAGAGATTCCTACAGAAAAAATTGAAAGGTTTTTGAAGAGGAATTTTGCTGTTAAAATTTTCTGGGGTTTTATCCAGCAAGCGCCTACGTAAAAGGAAGCCAAAGCACATGATTGTAAATAGATTGATTGTCATCGTTTTGCACCTACTGTTGTACCCAGTCGAATTACTTTGCCTTAAGGAGTAACTACTTATACAGTAGCAGAGGGTACCAATACGTAACAATGTCACGCGAAGAAGACAATGGAAAAAGCCGTTTTTGTGGCAGAAATGGTATTGAAACCATGTATTAAGGATGGTATTTCAGTCATGATGGTGGGTTCTAAACTTTTAAACAAATAAACTCCAAGGGACCAACATTTACGAGTGGATTTTACATGTGCACCCTACATGTCGACTCTCATTTTCATACGCACACGGGTTGATTTACATCGACAGGGGTTGCTGTTGGGCACTTATGTGATATGCGTGTCAACAGCGTCACATAGCGATTACGATTGTCACTGCAGTCTGGTGATACATTTACATGATACACTTTGTGTTGTGTGACATGCCAGTTGCCTATATCTGAGGCAACTGGCTTCCGTTCTGCTTTTGTAGTGACGGCACCTTATACGGGAAAGGAAGGCAAACAGTTGTCCAATGGGATAGAGAGGTGAAACATTCCATAATGGCAACCAAAAGGGCATTGTGGCAATCAAAATTAAACCCTGTCATGTCACCCTTTCAACTACATTGTACCAGTAGGCGCCTTAGGTATTTTTCGAATCTAGGCCTATTATTCTGACAAGACACGGTGAATACTGATGAAGTGGGGATTGGCTATAAAGAGTTCTTCGGCCTCTCCCCTCCCCTTGTCGAACTCTAATTCTTACTGGCTTTCAACCAGAGACTTTCGTCATTCTGCTTGTCAATCTTCCCCCACCCACATGCTGTTGGCCCACTCTGCACGGACAAACTGACACACAAACCCAGAACTCACACGAACAATACCGACATAATCGGAGATAATTACGACACGGAACCATACTTCAGTTGCAGCGAACGAAACCATATTTATTATGTATACCTGACGTCGTCTTAATGACATATAAAGGCAATGAAGCCATCTCATAAATATTTTGTTGTGATGCAATTAATTCAATCTGCTTCGTATTGCACCCACATCTTAGTATACCATTTTTGACGACTGGGTTCATCCAAATAAACTACAAACTACGTAGTGTTTCCTTGCACTAAAGCACTAGTCAGCTGGCTGTAATTCTATCAGTTGCGATCTAATTCCTATGACAGCTGTTATGATTTTATCCATCGTTGCTGTCTTCTGGAGCGTCACAGAATATAACCTACGGAGGCACAGAGGGCAGGTCTGTGCTAAACGTTCTTTTTTTCTCCTATTTTTCTCCTTTCTATCTCTAAAAAGTTTAGCCTTAAGCTTCCTATGAGCAAAGATATGAATCTATTTTGGACAAAAATCCAATTGCCTATCAGGGTCTTTTCACTGTTCTCTTCTGTTCCGTGTGTTCCACTCGGAAGTCGGAGACGATTTCTAGTCCATTCTCCATCATCAACTTTTTATTCCTGCAAGGAAAGGAAAGGAAATATATGTCAGAAATGAGTTACGTTCGCTGTAGTTGTTTCTGCTGATGTACTGGAGGTCGAGGCCAAATGTCCTATTTGAAAACTACATATAACACTATATATTACAGTAATATGAGTTTAAATTCCGTGCTAAAGCTGTTTTTCTCTCATGACACCCAGTCGACACTTCCCAAGTAACCCACGCCAAACTATCCAGCCCGCCCATGTCCCCTGGGTCATCAGTGAACCTTCATTCTCATTACAGCCGGCCAGGTCGGCACATGGGCGTGACGTGTCATCACTTAGCTCCTCAGTATTACCTTAACGAGTTCCCAGGAGGCGCCGGTCCTTACAGGCGGCGGGAGGCTCCCAGGGAGCGCTTCTTGCGGCCGGGGCTCTCCGGGCCGGTGTTGGTGAACATGCCGTGGCCCAGTCCGAGCCGCAGTCTGTCCGCCAGGTGCATCTGTACACACGTCCCCGACTCGCACTTTCTCCGCACTCTCATGGCCATGGGCTCCAGCATGTCCTCGTAGTTGCTTGAGAATCTACACAAAGCAGAGGTGCTGACATTTTACCTTGCAAACTAGTAAAACGGTGAAGTCAACACAAGAATGCCGTCTCGGAAAGCTTGCAAGTTTGGGTGATTTGGAAGAGTCCAAGGAACGACATAAAATCACGAAACTCTCTTGAATTATCTTGTTGATTTGTAGTACCTTTGAAGAGCTTGCCATACATTGTACCTGCTACAATTGTTGTGCAATAAAGTTTGATTTGATATGAAATTAATCATATGCCATTACAATTAGTTTGCTACCTGTGCTGCACTATGTGAAGTGTTAACAGGGGACATACGCAGCGGACTAATCCTATAGCAAACAAACCGACAGATGGCTGGAAATAGGTCCATAAATGCCGAAGAATGACTGCTGAGTGAAAGATGGCTGTTAGCTTGAAGGGTTCGTCCGCTCTATATATCTAGTGCGAAGTATCGTCACTCTATAATTACCCAAACAATGTACGTTGTACATTCCGCACCATACAACACTTAAAATTTCGGATTGCATCATAAATTTCTGACAAGTAGAAAGCATTTTATACGACTCCTTGTTCAAGCAAATTGATCTTTTCCAGTGCATCATGTTTATGTAGTCAAGGTCGTTCTGTACGTGTATGTACCCAGTAGTAACTATGCGGGTGTAAAATATCCATGGTACATTAACTGTGCTATGTCAAAGCTTTTAGGATGACACTTCTTCAATCAACCGTATAACCTCCTCCTATAAACCTCGATGTATTATAGCCTGTATATCCACGCACTACTTTATGATTTTCCCAGCCTCTTTGGTGAAGTATTTACAGCAATTTTGTAGTCATCAAAAAGCACGTAAATGTTTGTACACTCTCATTTTAGATTTGGTTGGTTTTACATGTTAGTGAACTATCGTTTAGATTACATCTCCTTGCTTGGTTAGGTGATCTTCAAGTACAACTTCCAATGTGAACTAATCGTTTTTCTCTGAACAATGACTTTGTTGACAATGACCATGTAAAAGCAGATACTTTGCCGGATACGGATTGGCGGAGACCTTTGACTCTTTGCTGACGTCACACTTCCACCCACGTTACGTGACGTAGTCCTTGTGTCATTTCAGCTTGAGAAGGGCCAGGGGACTGACTAAAACCTGGTTGGTAAACACTGTATTTTTGTGTACGGGTACAGCGTGTCAAATCTTCACGATGATTATTGTTAAAACGCAGACCTGTTGTCCTGTCTGGCCTCTATGTTGTCGAGCAGCTCCCTGGCCAGCCCGTTGTACACCTTGTCCTCCTGCTGTCCCAGCAGCGTCAACAGCGGCTCCACGTCCCCGTCGAAGTCATAGACGTCGTCGTCGTACCTGGGGAGGAGGAGAGAGAGTCATACTGGTGGAAACAGTAGTCAGAACAAAACTTCCGGGAAGTAAATATAGGTTGCGTTAATGAATTACACCGTAGAACACATTGTTAATTCTCATACGATTGTATAAAATGGGATTTCTCCGCTATTTCATATTGTTTTGTGTTTCATACATTCCTGGTGACCACATCCTTAGACCCAGGACATACCGTGTCAAACGCCTGTCAATCAATCCAATATCCGCCCACTTTATATTACTTTGGAACCCTAGCCACCCAAAACAATACTTCCGTCCCGGAAGCAACAAGATGTATTTTCTCGTTTTCGTGACCTTCACGTTCACAGACCTCCATAAAATGATTTATAGTGATTGTTTTGGAAACCACAATAACGTCACTGGAAAAAAGTATGCCTTCAGATCAAAACCCTCGGCGTAAAGAGGCGGAGGGTGAACATCAGCCTGACTGCTAACCATGGCCTTTGTCTTTCTACGACCTTGTCGAGACTTAGTCAGACACAGTCATAAAAAGGGTTTTATTTTCTATGTAGCATTCTGACATGAAAGGTTTTATGGCCGCTGTTGCTTTTACGTATACAATATGTTTGGGATAGAGAGGCACTTATGTGGCACTTGTGTTCTATGAGTCGTAACGAGATCTCCCCCACTTGAGAACTGATGCGTGCAGCATTTTCTCCAAATGGATACACTGCACGGTCGACTTGCGTAGTCGCTAATACCCCAGCTAATGCAAAATCTAACACTGTGTACCTGGACTTATTTGTTTCTTTTGGGACATTTTTTTTCAATGAAATTAGATGAATTAGTCAATATCAGACAATCGAGATGGTGAAATATACTGTAATCAACATGTAATGGAATTAACAAGTTTGTATAAATTTATGGGGCCGAATTTGGACCCACGTGAATCGAACAGCGCCCCACCACTTTGGAGCATTCAAGCGTTGTACCAACTTTAATCCATCCACTTTCCCAACAAAGTAGGATAGATTGATTTCCAAGAAATACCAGTAACAAAGTTACATGTACAGTCTAGAGAACTGGAGGTACTGTCAAATTTTGATGTCACGAACGTCATAAAGGCTGAAGTATACATATACATCGATCGTAGTATTTTAATCCATTGAAGCTATCCTTCGTTTACATGGACTACTTGAGAGCCATACTAGTCATGGTTCGATCTACAACTGTCTACAACACCATCCAACAACAACACTCTCGTCCAGTCACGTGGCGCTTTAACTTCCAGGCCACTTTTCTGAGCTGAAGACAAATGACGGGTGCCACTCTGAAGCCTCTCTACAAGCTGAACTTTTAGTAATGAGAAACAGTTTAGTCGTATATCTTCACTAGGAATGTTGATACTGTACTTGTTCTGAACCTGCCTGGCGCCCACCCGTGTGGTTGGACGGATTTACGGGGTGTAATAGAGAAGTTGATGGAGTCTGTCTCTTCAGGTGGCCTCGTTATTGAGTGAGTCGTCCAATATACGGAATTGTAACCAGTAGACAGCAAGTGTAAATTGTGTGGGTTTGACCGGAAATAGGATCTACAGATTTAGAGGCATGCTTGCACATTTTTAGAGAAATCGCACATTTAACTCAACAACGTTAACCGCCGGTGCCAATAATACGTTCATATGTATCTGAAACTGTCACCTTTGTCACAACAGCTACAGCTCTTCATCACACACTTTACCCATTGAAGTCTTTTTAAAAAAAACTTTATTATGGCTTTACCACGCCACTTCCTATGCAGGTGAGTGGGCAAGTACCCCAGACTTTTTTTTCATTTTGTTATACAAGCCTTTAAAACTGTTTTATTTGTGTTTTTTGCCATTTTCTGACAAAATCTGTACACTTGGGGTCCTGGAGACCTAGTATCATAACCAAATCATCTGAAATTTGGCATGGGCATTATATATCTACCAACAACAATTCATTATAACCATATATCATTAAAGCATGCACCCCTTTAAAATTGTTTAATTCTGGACTTTTGACTGTTTTCAATGCCAAATAGTGAAGTATAGTTACTGTATACTGGAGGATGAGTCATCACTAAGGAATGCCGAGCAACAGCCAATAGGCATGCAGCTTTTGAGATCGTTGGGGAGTTGTGATCTTCTTGCTGATTGGGTGCTGGGTTTAATTGAATTAACTCATTGGGCACCTATCAGTTAAACTGCATTCAATTGTTTTTAGTAGGTTTGTCACACTTTCCTGCAATGTGGGGCGTTAAATTTTTTTTTAATCTTGAAAACCAACAGGCAAATACAAATCCTTACCAATAATGTATAGGATGTTAGCTATCCAACTGTTTTATGGCTTCACAACACCATTTGTGTGGAAGAGGGATAGGTCCATTTTTGGTCCGGTGGATGTGGTGAAGCCATGCTGCATTTGCTCCTAAACAAATGTAGGCCTTTCTAGTCTCTAAATATTCTTTACTATTTTAGATGCACGATGTCGTTGGTGGACAGAAACGACGTATGCATATGTGTAAAATACAGAGTACTGTAATACCAATGATGGTCGCTTTGAACAAATGTTTACTGTCCACGATTCAAAGGATAAATCTGATGGGTCCTTTCATCCGTCTCAATTCATCACCTATGTTGTTTATTCAGTACTATTTCCGGAGTACCTAATAAAATAGTCACCTCTGTCCTGTTTGGAGGTAACGCTGATATTTACTTACGGATACCTTACGCTCATGGTGATATTTTCCTTCAGTCAGAAGCAAGCGAAGTTTTGTTGACATTTCTTTGGATGTACGTACATTGGACTTGGAAAATATATCAAACCCGGCATTAACTTGGATATTCGTACGGAAGAAATCCTGGAATGGCTGTTTACTCGTCCGGGTAAAATAACATAAAGGCTACAATTTCGTAATACGTTTGGAAATGCGGCATCTACACGTGCATTGTGATCTTTGTAATGTCATTTGGCATTCATAGTTGAACATTTCAAAACAGACTGATCAAACGTGTGCTTAAATCATTCAAATTACGTGCATGCACAGAATACGATATATCGGACGTAGGTATCATCGCGTCTGTCACAATGATTTTGTCTGTAATTGCCTTTTGTGATTTCGAAGTTAAAATATGTAGGGTCGTAGCAACAGCAAATGGCGTAAATAACTTTGCAAAAGGTACTGAAATACACCGGTGTAGAAGTACAAGAAGTACAAGTGACCACCTTAACATAAGGACCACCACGCCAACATGTGACCACATTTTGGTGGTCCCTTAGTTAATATTTCCATTGACACAAACATAACATACGAATCCTGTTTATTGTGATCACCCGTCTACATAGACCAGATTTTATAAGTCATTTGAGTGGTAGTTTTAGGTAGTAATTGTGTTTTCAATTTCCAGTAAGTACATGAAAAGTTAATCAATATGGGAGCTGGATTCCCTTTCCTTACCTCCTTATTACCGAAGCGGTGAGCTGGTTGGTGTGTACAAGTACGAAGAAGGCGAGAAGCGTCAAAACGCAGCAAGGCCGCATGTCGATTGCTGTGATCTGGAAAGAGCACGGAAAACCTCTCTTAGTAAGGAATAGTTGATTGTAATTATGCGTTGATTAGGCATCATTAGCGTGCTTCATAATTAATCATTAGATCATGTATTCAGCCCATGTGGTCTATTTACCCTCAGTAGTCATTAATTACCGAAGGTTGAGCTGTGGGCCAATCACCTCCAGACGACACTGCAGAAGTTAATCTATTTAAGTCTGAAGGAATTTCGTCCAATCATATGTGATTTTCTGCCTCCATGGTCCAATAGAATCAAGTGAGGCATTGCTCATGTGGTCGGTTTTTAGTACTACGCCACCTTTGATACAAGACCTTTGTGAAATGGGGACTCAGGCAAGCTGCCTGTGGTCGTGTGGAGGCCGAACGGGTGCTTGTACAGTCAAACCGGGACATGTGGCGACCTTTACATAAGGAGGACATGGCCAATGTGGATATTTTCCCACATTGACACAAGCATTAAGATCCTTTTCCATGGTGACCACCTGTCCACGTGGACATTGGTCCCCTGTGTTGTCGTCTTATGCTGGTTTGACTGTATTAAAGGACGTATGGAGTGTACTTCCACCACGTACCCATAATGAAATAAAGGTATTTTGAACTTTAAGACAAAAATAGAAAAGAGTGTTAAGGGCTGCACTTCCATGCCATGAGCCATCTACATGCTCACCAGACCCCCCCCTACACCCACCCAGCTAAGCTCACAATAGTACTACATGACGAACTTTCTCTGGGTAATTACGGCCGGTGCGCCAACCTAATGAAGGCTTATGACACACGTTGTTTCAAGATCAATGACTCATGTGATGCATGCAACCAACTGTGAAACGAGAAGTTTAACATGTACCTATGATAAGGAGAAGGTTACTCGTCGTATTTTGGCGTGTTTATAACCATTGTTTCGAGACTGGTGCAGTCACAAACTACGTGTATGCCCAGTGTCACACAGGAACTGCAGCGATTATGTAAGTTTGATGCCTATGGGACTAATCTATTCTAACGATCCTACTGATTACCACCATGGTCCTAGTAGTACTTTCATTCCCGATTCATGGAGGGCCACCGGGCGGTTCTTCCCAAACACTTCATACGAGTAACGTGGCCAACCAAGAGTTTATTCAAACGAAGATAGCCCCCATGTGAAGAAGCCGGCGGCTAGACTTGAAAACCCCGTCCGTCGCCATGTCACATGCTTGTGATGACGGCTCTTCATATAAAAAATAAACGGCACGACGCAGTCTCACACTATAAAGATGAAGCACTTCAACCGCAAATATGACAGTTACTCATTCATTCATTTTTCAGAACCAAAAGATCATGGAAGAAAATCAAATACGTGTGCTTCAATGTATCATACTGTGTTATTGCCTGAATAGCATAGGCCCTTATATTTTATTGCTGACGAACTCAAGGACTTGAAGTGTACTGATGCCATTTTCATGGCTAGAAATCCTTTGTTCTTGAACCCTGGCAGTTTTAAAGACAATGTAACCCACAAATGCATATATAACTTGTTGTTACTAGATGTTCCCGCATGTTGTTTACGTAAAGATGCATCCGGCCTGTCATTAGCTATACCTTAACAAGCTCTTGATTATCAACACTTCAGCGCCTTTCGTGCTAATTGCCTGTTCTTTGCTCGACTTGTGGATGTAAGATGCCGCAGCTGCCGGAGGACCCAGATGCATCTTCTAGATGGTCTGTTTTGCCGTCTTCGAGACACACAGTTGGTTGAGCGTTCCCCGCGTAGAATGCGATGAACCTTATGTTTGCATTTTTTTACAGAAATCTTTTATACATATTAGTCTATTGGCAGATTAACTGATAGTAGTATTGGCAGGTTGGTACATAGATACACTCAAGAACATTGCAGCCAAATAAAACTACTTGCTGAATTGCGTAAAGACGTTTACAAACTGAGTAGACAAAAATCCACATGCAAGATCAGGAAGAGGTCTATGTACAAGAAATACATGTACTTACTTTAGCATCATCATCATACAAAGTATCAAAATTTTCATGCGATGGTCTTTGTAGTTAAATGATGTCGCTAGAAAGAGTTTGTAGTCGTAAATGCATTTGTCAGAAAAGGATTTAGAAAGCAGATATTCTATAGTATCTGGACGCTGATGATTACAGTACGACTCGGGACCACCAACGGGGTATCGTCTATATCGGCTCTCTTTTCTGAACCTTCCTATTTTACGATATTAATTTCCATGACACATGTGCCATTTTGGTCGGCTCCTTCCACTACTTCGGCATCAAAGTGTATCTCCAGGCAAAAGAAGTGATAGCTTTTATACCTGCTTTGGTGCCCGGGCGTCAAATGGTTCCCTCTGGGCTCAATTATCTTAAAGCCCAGGCATCTGTTAAAAGTCAGCTATGTTAATCATCATACTGATTAAGCCACGGCTTGTGGGCTGTCGTTTTGCCTCGTGGCGTCACACGGAACGCTGAAACTGCACCACGCTACAACTCTTTGATCTTTACAGACGAGAACGCGCTGATTTGACTGGTTTGGAGAATTTCCTCCGCGATGGTTGAAGCAATCTCAAAATTGGTATTAAGGTATAAAGTGAAATCTATTTGCGGACCGTGGATACAGAAAAGCCAGTGAAGATCATCGAGCAGTATTTACCATGCATGTTATGAAGCACACCATGAGCCTGACTTGCAATGCCATAAAACAGTCAGACTGTAAAAAAAACATCTTCGCCAGGTTGACTGTCATTTGTTTGACAGTATTATTATTGTTGAGACAAATAGTAGTGCCATGAACACTTCTGTACTTCACATTTTTAGTTGTTCTGGGCTTTAAAGAAAATGCGTTATTCTTTGTTTTCCACTGGCGGTGTAAAAGGGGAGATTAACCGTGTAGACGGATGGAATCCCCCTGTAGATTGCATAAAGTTCAACGAAACCGATTTAAGTGATCTCGCATAAGGAACCACCGGTACCCTGTCGGGAAGACTTCAGTATCAGGCACTCAAATGACCAATATCCTAGTGTCAAATTTATAGACAGACCAAATTCATCGTCAGCTGATAGGCACCATGGCAATCTGCTCCAGGATGGGCGGCATCACCCGGCTAATGAAGAGTTGGTAAATTTGTAGATGCTGCATGAAGGAGGACATGGCATGAAGGAGAATTCTGGGAACTGGAGTCAGAATTCTGCAGAATTCTAGGAACTGGGGCCAGAATTCTGGGAAGAATTCTGGGAAGAATTAGGTTACTCCCCAAGGGGTCCTCGATGGTTGCTACATATTTCTTACATCATTAATTCTTACCTGTAGTTTACAATATTAGCCCATCTAGATGTAAGGTTCATGGTATGTGGGAATTAGCCCGGAATTAAAAACTGGAAGTCCAAAATTAAACTGGAGGCTGTTACATACATGTGAGTAGATATTAACTTTTATTTACAATCCAGGTCGAAATAGAAAGATGAAAGACGAACCGCAGCAAATACCACGTACTCTAGATCTGCGTCACTCACAAAAAAGCCATTTTGAAATGACTCAGAGCAGCGTTTCTGCCAGACATGCGTCCTGGCGCATTTGGACGCACTTTTTTTGGGGGGGGGGGCAGAAATTAAGTAAAGGAAGGAAATTAAAAGTGATACTACTAATGTAAAATAAGCTCTATCGTGTTTCCGGAATTATTAGAACCTAAAAATATTCTACTTGTGACTTGACAGTTAACCACGATCGCCTTCGGGGTATGACAAAACTACCAGATCGGTGTATCCGGCAAATGAAGGGATGTCATCCACGGGAGACTATTTTCTGAACACATCACCATATTTAGCGATTTGCAGCACGCAAAAATAGACATTAAACAGCGAAGTCTTCATGGTCGCAAAATCTCGTTGAATGAAAACAAGATCATGTACCTTCAGAACACTGGAAAAACAAAGGGAAGGGCACGGGAGATATATATGCAGCAATCAAAAGTCGATGGTGCAGGTCTCAACAGCCAAGCAACTTGGAGAAGTGTCCAGAGATGCTGACAATTGTCAGACCACACTTTCCTGTCCACAAAGCAGACACCATCCCATCAAGAGTATGATGATATATAGAAAGGTATGTAGCTTCCAACCTCTAGTTCTCTTATTTCGATTCATCTTTTAAAGCTAACCCAGAGAAGAAACACCCCACAGTGCACTAACGTCTATATATATATAGAAGGTCCGCTCTGGTTGAAAAAAAATGGCGCTGCAACTAAGAATTTACCCGATCAATATATAATCGTTCTTATATGTTTTGGGCATTGCACAGACGCTACGAAAAAACAGGGACCACTCCAATCTAATCCAAGCAACAGTCCGTATTGTGACCAACGCGAGTGTCTGTACCTTCAGCTCTGGACTGTAGAACCGTACGGCTCGCGCCGCCCTGAGTACATGGACCTGGTCAGCGTTATATCACAACATGTACTAGGCGCACAGCTTCGTTAGGGATGATGAAAGACCGTAGCAAACACGTTGAAGGGGATAGAATTGTTCACTTGCCAGTTTGGTAAAGCGACTACTGAGCATCAGTGTACTTCATATATTCGAAGATAGGCGTTTAAACACGCTTCCTAAGAATATAGACGTTTAAACGACCGAGATCGAGAACATCAGCTAAACCCGTTGTGCCAAAAAGGCCAAAGAACAGAACATGTCATCAAAGCATAATCATTTTGAACCATGCAAAATTTGTTGGAAAAGAAAAAAGAGAAAAGAATGGTTTCTCTTACATAGATGTTCCGGGGAGAGATTTTGAAAAAAGATGGAAATACTGTTCCGACAGCGTTTGAAAGCTATGGTGCCTTTCGGGGAGAATTTGCGAAGGAAATTGAAGACTTCAATGAAACAATGGAAGACTAGTACAAGGTGAAGCTGTAAAGCCTTCAGAAGATTGCAAAGTCGTCTGGTGAAAAATGTTGGGCACGTACCTGGTGAAGAGTGGCGCACGACTTTTCTCAACACTCTCGGCAGCGCGCGCTGCACAGCTCGTCCTCCGCACACCTTGTCTTATCTTCTAACATCCAATCACCGCCGCATTTATACCCAACACGCCCCCTGAGTGGTGTGAGCGGAAATGACGAACACTTCACATCAATCATGCCTTGCGCGTTCGCCATCTTCCGGTCCGTCTGCCCTACGCACAAGGTGTTTTCAGACTGAATCAGAGGGGACTCCGTGCGTAGTCGACCTGTTGATCACCGGTCTCTCTGGTACAAAGAAGTCCGGCTAATGTACATGTAAAGTGACCATGTGTGCGGAAGGATCCCTCGTTATGTCTCCTTGGAAACAACACAGAATAGAACGGACGTAGGACTCGCTCCGCCATGCGTGTGTAGCCATATCACTGGAGACACGCACCTGATTGCCTTTATTGTAAAGAGTACACGACCTAATAACTCACCGGATTCTCTGTGTGTCTCTGTGACTACGTGACAGAGTCATCCTATCGCCATGACGTGGCAAAGTGACTAACCACGAAAAAAAGTCGCCATAAAGGCATAGATAGACATTTGTTGACAGTTTCATGACTTGAAGTTGTCATGCATCTTTTCGAATAATTTTTTTTCGAACATATGGACTGGTAGCCGAGAGTTATAGTTATAAGTTATAGCCGAGAAGGAGATATCAGTAGACATTGTAACAACAAAGTTAGAGCATTCGCAATTTCCTGGCACCGAGCTTGACGTCCTAAAATTAAGACAACGAAATGACTGTTCCTAACTTGGTAGCGCCTTAATGAGTGTTGCTTGAAGTGGGTTGACATCCTGCGTGGGAGCAGGAAGTGTGTGTTATGTTGTTATGGCAATAAACAACAGCTTAATTGGACTGAATCCCAGCCGAATTCCCTTCCGGAAGGTGGAGGTCTCTCCATTTAGCATCAATTTACATTTACATTTAAACGGCAATGTGAGTCTTTTGGGAGGTTGCTAACCCTTTTTAATTGCAACATTCTATAAGAAAAAACATAATTTAAACCTACTGCATATTCCTCTCCGCACACTTTCATTAGCATTTTCGGAAGGCTCGATTCTGAGAATACGGGACACAAATGCTCTAATGTGCGTCAGTCTATCGAGACTGACTAAAGGTTTATGCATAGGCAACATTGTGTCGACAAATGTTGCCGAGTCATTGTTGCAAATGGCGTTTCCTGTATTAAAAAATGAATGAACCACGTAAAGCATGCCTGGTGCGCTTATCTCTCAACTTTGGCTGTCTGACAAAAAATCATAACACAAGGACGGGGAGTGGTCGTTAGAAAAAGATTACATATCCTTTAATGGTCGTTATTGGTACGTATAGAGTAATTTGGTTGGAAAATTAGTGCGTTATGTTGTAAATTCACGGCAGAGTTAGTGTTGCGAAATGTCAGTTGGTTGCTTTTTGATGGGGTAAAGTCTCATCTACTTTTACAGTATCACCCCCTCCCACAAACAGGTAGATGTTATGTTCGTCATTTGGAGATGATAAATGTGACTTTACTTCATTTCATTGCGTTTCGAGCACATTTTAAGTACGTTTTACTTTGCCATGTCTCACAAATTACTAAAACAAATAGACAGTTGTAAACATACCCGAGATGCATGCTAGCAATCTGCAACGTTGTTGTCATGGAACCTTCACCTTATAACATAGCCTTCAAACAGATATGTATAAATGTACACGCGTCAGACCTGCGGGGCACGAAACAAAAGTTATGAATCTATTCCTTTTCAAACGTAAATTGTTCGAAGATGTCCGACCTTCATGTCCACCCAATTTCCTGTGTCTCACGTTTTGACATCCTGGAGCTGTCAATCTTCCCACAACACGCAGTCAACCTACATTGTCCCGACAAACAAACAGACCCACAGCTCAGCCACCCAAAACAATACTTTCTACTTTCGAGTAAGAAAGAAGTACCCATGAAGTAGTGTACGAGTATATTGATTCTCCGCCACATTGTCTCGGTGCTATCAATACATTTGTAGTTAAGTTATATCTAGCTTTTGTTGAAAGTAACTCCCCATGAAGATACAATACTAATGTGCCCGCCATCTGGGTCAAAGAAACGGAGAAACGGAATACTAAAGTAGTAATACGAATTTGCTATCCGCGTAATAGGCAGAGACTATCAAAAGAAAAGGCACAGTACCGCATATACAGGACTTCATAACATACAGTCCGTCCCTTCCTGAACTCCTCCATATACCACATACTTGCCCCCACCCGGCACGTGCTAGCCAACCTTCTAGCTTTACCTCCCTACCAATCAGTTGTAGCCAGATATCCATCCACTCTCCCTGTAGCCGTCTCTGCTGCAGACAAACATACACACAAACCCACAAACTCACCCCAAACTATATACCTCCCTACGTCAGTGCCTACCATAGGTGAGCTCAAGAGTAAGTTTTGGAAATCGCCAAGTTCAGTAGTTAATTTCGAAAAGGTTTCCCACATGATTAGACCCTTCCCATATCATGTCAGTCACGGGCAGCCGATGACCAATCAAAGGAGACATGAGAAGAATAGATACCTGGCACGGTCAGACATGATATCACATATAGATATGCACATGGGTATCTTTCTGAAGGTAAAACCTGCACGAACGACTGAAAATCAAGTTTACTCGTGGTCTTATGATCGATGTTTCGACTCCTTGGGACGTCAATTTGATGTATCAAACACATCTACATTGCAAAACACATTTACAGGGAACATATAACAAGAGCATTGGTCACATTCCTAAAGCCTTTATGGGATTGGACTGAAGTTTTGCAAACGCATGTAGGCATGTACATGAACCAAGTACGACATCATCAGCCTGTATGTGGTGCTCGGACATACCGGCACCTGCCCTAGAATAGCCAAAGATCCCGTACTATCAAATCAACAAAAGCACGGAATATTCGAATCAAAGATGAAAACCTTGCTATTGCTCATATGCATAATAATACCCCACCTTCAGATATTTTATAGTGAAACGTTAAAAGAGACTAGCAACGAGAAACCTATAGACCTCTTGTACAAAACCTTCCCATGACCAAAGTTGCACGGAAACCTTGTCTGCTTACAAATGTTCCAACAGTAGCTTTCACCCTGTTGGCCATGACTTTATCTCACCCTTAAGAAAACAAGTTGTCAAGACGGAGACAACAGACAACAATTCAACAGACGTTCTGTGGGAACAGGAGGCCAGGAGGGATCTCCCGGATTTGTGATTCGTAGTTCTGATTCACTGAACCTTGTCGACCCACTGTGAATGGCGAATCTGATTTCCCACTTAAATCGATATCCAGGATACATAATTGGTGCTCATATCAAAGGTTAGACAGCGTCAGAGACATTATGAAGTAAGTGCATTCTCGGGATTATATATATAGACCGATTGGAAAGATTGTAAAGGATTAAGACCTAATTATTTTTCTTCGGGGAAATACAGAAAATCCCATCTGCATGATATTAGTTATGTCATTAAGGAGGGTCACATGCTTCCAATGAACTCAATTTCAATTCATTTTATTTAACCAGTAATTACAACTCAGGCCAATTTGGCCTGCTTTTCAGGTAATCCTGGATACATATAAAAATACACACAACAAATATACATTACATAAACTATTACTAAAATTACAACATCCTAAACATCAAGAGTGTCAAATCCTGCACCTAATGCTCTGTATAAAAGTCCTAAGAAGTCCTGCTCCTAATGATCTGTATTAAAAGTCCTGAGAAGTCCTGCTTCTAATGTTCTGTTTAAAAGTCCTGAGACTAAGGAGCTGTCGTTGCTGTAGCGGAAGAGTGTTCCACAGATAAGGACCATAGTACTGTAGACTGCTCCGGTATGCCGTGACTCTTGCTGGTGAACAGAAGAGTAGGTGAGGGTCGTAGTCCCTAAGACGCTTTAACTCTGGGCGAGTAGTCCGTACGCTTAATGTTGGAGGAGTCTCCCACTTGAACAGAGATGCCATGTACACCGGCGCACTACCACGAATTGCCTTAAAGACATTGACACGAGTTGTGATTTCTGTCCGTTAACTCTTCTTCTATGACGCACTATGACGTTTTTTTTAACAAATGTTTGTGTCCGAATGTTGAATATAGTGTTTGGGAACATTGCACTGATACATTCTGTGGTTTCATCGGATCGTATGGGTCACCGTACATGTCAATTGGTACCAATTAAAGATCAAAATAGAATGTGAAATGAAATTGTCTGATGAGCTGAATGTACTTACTCTAATTACTACAATACTGGATACATACTTATTATCATCTCAACTGATAAAATGAGCACAACTACACCTAAACGTCCATTCAAAAAACGCCCAGTGGCAGTTCTTGCACCGGAAGATGATGAATCACTCCCAAAAAGATAATTCGAAGTATAAGCGCTGGGCCAAACTATTCCAGCGGAAGGCATAGAAGATAATGTCGGATAAACAAATTGTGTCCCGTTTTACCCGAGCACAAAATGAATTATTCATAAATTATGATGATATTTGAAACCTGTTGACTATACACGGAACAAATACTGTGTGGATTCTCTATTTTTATATAATATGTAGTAGTTTTTCACGTACCATTTTGTCCTGCCCGCATGTCTTCATATCGTGCAGAGGTCTCCACTGCAGCTGGCTGCCTGGGTTGGAATGCTGTTATCTCTCCCCGGGTACTGATATTTATACCAATATCCAACATACCAACACGTGCGTGCGTGCAAAAGTAATACAAAGCGCCGCACGTGCAACCATTGTTCTTAAATGCTTTAACTACATTTTAACTAAATATGTCGAAGCCAAACCAAAGAAATGCATTCGCATCAAGGTCATTGATAACGATTTCATTTGATCAGTAACTTTTTTCATGTAGTGGACAGAAAAACGTAATTAAAGCGATCTGTCAGTACTTATTGTAGTATTATTTGCATTACTTGAAAAAGTAACCGTCTTAGTTATGCAGTTAAAGCTATTATGCGCTTAGGAGGTTAGGATATATTGAATTATATTTCCCTAATGACGCATTCTGCTTTCTGTAAATTGCCGT